ATTTTAATCTTATTCTATTAATAAATCAATTTGAAGGTCTTGAGTATCACAATATATATAAACCTGTTCATAAAAAAATATATTGGTTTACTGAAAATGAATATAATTATACATATGACTTGGATAAAGAAGATAAACTTAAAAATATTTCCTCTGAAATCGAAGACATTATTAAATATCTTAAGATGATAAAGGATTATATACCATCTATATTATATGCCGAGTTTCGCAAAGATATCATTAATCTTACAAATAATTATCAATCTTTAGAAGACGAAATTCAGAATATACTAGATTATCTGTGTGAACCGTCTTTTTATGACAAATAAAAAGCAAATAGTAAAGTCGACTGGCAATCCCTTGTTTAACCATATCTATAAACCTTCGAATTAGATATTTATTATATTAGACAAAAAAATATATTATTAATTTAGGAAATGTCTGTGAAGCAGGACACTATGTATCTATCTTGTGTTAATACTTCATCTGTACATTGAGTGGGCTAGACTCGATGATTCCGATTGCATTCAAGACAGACAAAACGTACATTTCCTTCAATGTGACCTAATTTATTATCAATTCGATCAACTGTCCATTGATCAGGATTTCCAGCTTCATCCCATTCCCACAGTATTTCATTAAGACATAATTCACATTTATTTTTTTGTAAATCTTTTAACTTGAGAATATAGTCAACAGATAAGTTAAATTTACAACCTTTTTTCTTATCTTGATCCATATATCCTACGAGTTTTTCAGAAATGAATGGTCTTAAGGATTGCTCGATTGCTTTTTTATTTCTTGCTTCCACTATTTCGGGAGGTAACGGGGGACCTTCTATCCGAATAAGTTAGTTCAAATATTCTACACGACCAACTGCGAGATAAACTAAATTATCCTATGCCAAATGTTCATCAATAACTCAAACACGTTGTGGAGCTTCAAGTGTCATTCTTTGGCTAGTATATACAGTCATAGCATATCCCAAATCCCAGTCAAGTATTTTTTCTTCTCCTGACATGTTTTCTATAAACTTTTTAGAAAGTATATTTAATGGTAAATATACTACATCATTTTTTACCAGTTCTTGTTTCTCAGATGAACTGGGAATCGATACAAGACAGTTTTGTTTACATCCATCTCTTGACCTATAGATTAAAGAAATTGGTGTATCTGGATATTTTGTATAATGAAGCTCAAGACATTTTTGGGATGCAAGTCTTCGAGAAAGTCGATGTGCTGATAAAATCCGGTCTGATGGTGTCTATTCTTTTTCAAGATATTCCCATTTTTCTATAATTGGAAGTGCTCCACGAAATAAATCTGATTGTACTCTGTTATTTTTATGACGCTGTCATCGGTGGTCCTTGGTTTTCTCAAGAACCACCGATTGGAGTGACTTTACGGTTCTTTTAAGGAGTTTATAGTCCTTTTCCGAAGGTAAGACTGTTGTTCCATTATTTAGAAGGCACCACTGATTCAATTATTTTAGAAAGGGAATCAGACCTTTC